AGGTTTTTTTCCCTCTTTTTTTTCCTGATATTTCAAGTAGATTTCTGGAATTAGGTGGTGTTGGATATTTAAAAGGTTTCTCTATAATTGCAAGTTGATATTATATTCATTTGGTTCACATCAAGTTTTCACTTCATTGCTATTTTTTATGTTTTATTTCCCTTTATTTGTCTTTCACTAAAATAAGACACCTGACACCAGCAAGAAAGGGATGAAAAAACGTGTGCGTGTGTGTGTGTGTGTGTGTGTGTGTGTGTGTGCATGTGTGTTTGCATGCACATGTGTGTGTGTTTGTTCATGAATATTTTTTAATGTATTAATTTATGTTTCATTTTTCTATCACTTTTTTTTCTCATTTACTCACACAACTTGTTTCTCTAAACCAGGCACCCATCTCAGATACATTCACAGATTAAAAGAGGAGGAAAAAAAGAAGAAAATGCTTGCCACATCTTTTTGAAGAGGAAAAAGTTGGCCTTTTGGGCTTGCATTGTTACATTTTATTTATTTACCTTTTTGTTTATTTATTTATGTATTGATTTATAGGTCTGTAAATGACCAAGAGAAAAAACATTGTCACAGATGACTTTAGAGACAAATTTAATTGTTAATCGCATTTGGAGGACCCATTGTGCAGCTCCTGGAAAACTGTTAAAAGATATAAATAATAATTTGCTTTGTCTGCATTTCCCACCAAAAAAAATGTACAGTTTACAGTGATGATGTAAATTTTTTATGCTGTCTTTTATTAGTTACTCACTCATTATTTTTTTACAAAGTTATTATTATTTCTTAATGAATCCATCATTGTGCTCCCCTTCGTCTTAGAATTTTTTTGTCAGGAATATGTCATCTTAGAAAAAAGAAAAGAAAAAAAAAATAAAAAAAGATATTTATTAAAGATGTATACATTATTTTTTTCTTATTTCACGTTTGCAAACCCACCTATATTTTCTTAGGCATGTAACAGCAAGCACATGCTCCGCTCTTCCAGGTATGACCGGGGGGACAGGAGCTACGACAGAGGCTACGACCGCTATGACAGGCCTCAATACCATGACCGCTATGATAGATACGACCGTGCTTACGATAAGTACGATCGCTACGATAGGTCCAGATCTCGCTCCTATTCTCCACGTAAGTCACCACACCAAGTATTTTGTTTGGGAAGGGTATCATTAATCCTCTCTCGTTGGTCCCCATGCTATCTGGGGTAGGTGTGTGATTTGGGATGTTCATTGGATCGTTGAACTTTATCTCAGCTTTTTTTTTTTTTTTTTTTTAATAAGTTAAACTATGCTTCAAAAAAGAAAAAAAATGTAATGTTTACTGCAGGTTTCTACAGTAAGTTGTGATTTTATTGTGTTATTTATTGATGGTTCCACAAGTAACTAGATGTATTGACCTAGCCTGGTTTCACCTTTCCTTGTGTCCATGTTTTTTTTTTTTAAATAATAATAATGCCATCAATATTAATGTTATTGATATCATTGGTATTGTAATGATTATTTGCACTACTAACAGGAATATAAGATAAAAGAAAATATTTCTGAAAATCAAGGAGAAAGATAAACAAGTGAGATAGGTAGTACTAGTAATCAACTCCTTGGTGACGATACGCTGTGGAGCCACCTGTGTTTAAAGACAATCTATAAACTAAACTCGCAATGGACATTTCATGTGTATGCATACCATCCTAGACAAAATTGGGTTAAAGTTAGCATATGTGTATTGTGAGAAAGATTAAACTTTTTGTTCAGATTATTATATTATGTTAATTTATATGGTAGATGTTGAATGTGAAGTATACATTGTACGAGGGATTTTCGTTGGTTGAATCTGGGATTTTTGTGAAATTAACTCTGTTCAAGTAGATTTTGAACTTGAGGTTCTAGATTTCTTCTTCTTCTTCTTTCTTCTTTCTCTTTCTTTCTTTCTTTTAGATTAAAAACAAGAATAAATACAAGTGTTTTTTCTTCGTTGTCTTTCTTTTTTTCTTTCTCTCTTTTCGAATAAAAAGAATAGATATAAGTGATTGTCATGTGAAATGATGTCTGTAAGAATTGATACAGGAACACAAAACTACTTGTTTGGAGTCTGATGAAATTTTTAGTCTTTTGTATATTTTAGTTTTGACATTTTTCCTGTGATAATGTTAGTTTGTTAGTCTTGTGTATAAGCTAAGAAATTCATTGGTATTTTCTGTTTTTTGTCTTATTTTCTATTTTCTTTTTCATTTTGTCTTTCAGGAAGATACAAGTATTGATGATTGTACACCAGACAAAACTGCAAGATTACTACAGAAAGGTTGTAGATGCTCCATACTTGACGGTGCTGTGCAGACGGCTGGCTCCAGAGAACATTTCGACCGTTATACAGTTACAAATTCTCAGTCTCATTTGTCATGCTAGTTATCAAAATATTTTAAGATAAGCTGTAGATAACGAGGTCTAAGAAAGTAAAACACTTTTTTTTTCTATTTTTCTCTTTTTCTGTCTTTTCTTTTAGGTAATGTACTCTCCTCCACCCATCTCCCCTTAACCTTCTTCCTGAGTCAAGCACGCGTGTTGAAATTTTTATCAGTCAGTTAGTTGTCTGTATGTGGTTCACTTGTAGCATGGCTGATGTTTTGTGTCCAAAAAGTGGTGAGGATTCAGGAATTTCTGTGCTAATTGTGTGTGGACTGACTTCAGAAACAAACAAATAAACAAACAAATGGAAATGGGGAGGGGGGGGGATGATTCGTGTATGTAAAAGACATTTTTGAAGTGTTTGAGGCATAGCAGCATCTGTGGAGTATGGGTGTGTGGATGACCTGGTGGTTCAATGCAACTTTGGCGGATATCTTTTCTTTTCCTTTTCTCTCGCTCTCTCTCCACTTTTCACTATTTCCATGAAAAGAAAAAAAAAACAAACATTGGAAGTGTGAGTGTATTGATTGATAGTCGCACGGTGACCTTGCACAGATATTTTTTTATTTTTATTATCAATATTATTATCATAATTATTATTTCTTTGTTTTTATCACTTCCCTTACAAAGAAAATTAGTGATAAGATATATGCAACTGAATCTCCAACAAGTTGCAGTTACGAGAAGGAAATCTCTGTGTGTAGCTTCAAATTATTGATATTTTACTCTGCTGTCACTCGAACACCTTCTCACCCTTTTTTTTTTTTTGTACTTTAATAAAGAATCCCCCTAAGCTTGAAAGGACTTCTTTGTTTTCCGTTTTAACTTCATGATGATGGTTACTAGAATTTTTGAGCGTTTTATTCTGTTCTCTCTTCATTCAGAAGGTATATTTTAAGTTCTCACTTAAGTTTCGTGTATTTGCCACATGATGAGTATGTGATATGTGTATTTTTTTCTTACCTTTTTTCTGGGATTTTTATGTTCCATTGAAATAAAAACAAAGATATTGATACTTTGTAGGGAGAAAGAAGAGGGATGTAAAAAGCTTTCTTTACCTGTGTCATTTTCAAAAGAAAATTGCTGCGATATGTTTTGTGTTTCAATAAACGCACTTGAATATCATCAACTCGTTGGTAGATTTTTGGCTCCAATGTACATGATGTGAGATATGACTACAGTGTGAAAACCCTCTGTAACAAAGCTCAGGTCATCAAGTTGTCTCCTCCTGGTCCTAGCACTTGCTTTGTTAAGTTAGGGTTTTGTCAAACAATTATGGTCATGCAAAAAAAGAAAAAAAAAGAGAAAAGAAAAGAAAAAAGGAAGAGAGAGAAAGATTCTGAGAGGCTTCCAATGTCTCGTAACAAAGTGAATGAGTTGAAAAGGAAGGTGTTAAGGGACTTAAAAGCACACATCCTTTCTGCTCTAATGGTAAATGCAGACTTCCTCCTCCCTCTCCCTCCCTTCCTTTCTCTTTCTTTTGTCATAACTGTCCATGTCTCTTGTGTAGAGGAACCGATGATAATCAGACTGCAGAAGTGGACAAAAGACCACCAAAAGAGGGCCTTTAACTACAATTACAAAGGTCTATCCATTGGCGTGTCTCGGGTTCCTCATGTGAGGAAGAATCTGTTACCTTTAGTGGGGAACAAGGAGACACGACTGTCTACCCTGCACGCACGATGGAGGTAGAGAGCCTCCTCACTTGGCCAAATGTATGCAGGTTGTCCTCGAAACAAAGATGTTGCTTGCATGGCTTCTTACGTACCTCGAAGTGTGTTGCAGGGTGGAGGAGGAAATGGGGGTTCGTTCAAGGAACTCCTTATAGTGGTTTAAAAGTTTATAAATAAGTGAAGAGAAAAAGCAAATCCTTATTCTCGACTAGTTGTGAGGGCATTTCATGATAGAGGTAACTGTGCTCATGTTGTACAGGTAAAAAAATATTTGCAGGATAGATTTTACATTATTTCATTGTGATTGTGACTTTTGAATAATATGAAATTTTCAGTGTTAATGATTGATTGTAGAATTGTGCAAGCTTCTTTTTTTAAAGAATGTTAATGGTTGGTATTTTCTTTTTTTTACACACTTAATGCCATTGAGGATTACAAGTAGGCAAAATGTGTTGTAAGATAAAAATGAAATAAAATTACCTAGGTCAAATGTAGATGTTCATGGTGACTACTTAAAATAAAAAACAACCAAAAAATAAAAAAGATTTTTACTTGAGTGATGGCATAGATCTCCAGCGGAAGTCATGATTTCTTTCATGATTTTAAAAAGAAAGACTTTCCATTTTCTGTTTGCATGTGTACATTTTTGGTACTTTCTAGGCAGGAACAAAATACTGTGAAATTGAGAAAACAATAAAGAAGTATTCCGTGAAATCAGGTATTATTATTTTTATTTATGCAGTGTTCTTCACTTGAAGGAAGGTTTTCAGTGTTCGATTATGTTTTTTTTTTTTTTATTCTCTATATTTCCAGTGTTCATCATGTTCGTTTTTCCAGTCAAGTCAGAGGGAGTTTTGGGGATGTAGTTTTAAAAATTACTGATTAATTGTACATAAAAAAATCTTTCAAAATATGTAGGTCATTTTATTGTTCCTTTTTTCTCTTGTGAATGTGTGAAAAGACACTAAAATATATACATATATGGAAAAAGGATTAAGAAATATAAAGAGCCATATTTTAAAAATATTTTTGTCTATGGTCAATATTAAAAGATTGAAGTGAGAGCCTTGCCCTTGCTAAATATGCTAATGAAACTGAGGTAGAGGAACGCAAAAACTAAATTCAAAATTTAGATATAAAATTCTTTAGGAAAGAGGTTCAAGGCAATGAAAATAACCTGGATAGTTAAAATGTATATAAAATTCCATATTATTGCAAGCTATTCGGAAAAAAAACACCCAATTTGCTCTGCAAGTGATAATAGTAAATGTACCGATGACATACGATGCAAAAATCCCCTTTTAATTACTATTGCATGCAAGTTTTGAACAAAAAAAAAAAAAGACAACTAAAAAACTACCTTCCAACTATAAAATTTACCTACTGTTGCTTTTTGTAATGCATACATCCTTTTATTTCTAATTATTTCAACTAAATATTTGATGTTGGATGATAAAATCAAGTACAGAAAACAATGATTTAATTTTTCTCTGTCCCACCTCACCGGAAGCCCTTGCTCGTCATGGGGGACGGGGTTGGGAGACAAACAGGCCCACAGACCTCGCATCAAAAAAGACTACCCGGGAGCATCGCCCCAAAGTCTCACCCTATTGCTATATTTTGAATATGCCGCTGATGTCATTTGATGTTGACGCGGCAGATTTTCAATAAATAAACATTCCTTATGCAATATCGTGCAATAATACTTAAGATTTACTGTGTATTACGAGCAAACTACTAATGATATATTAAGTGATAGAAGGGTTCGGATGATACAAGATCTGTTTTATCTACACAAAAAAAGAAAAAAATCTGAATACCCAGTCCTGTTAGGATCCCGGGCAATAAACAAGCAGATACGTTAGGACGACCCGTCGCCTTATTCAAAACCCATTATTTTATTTATTTATTTTTTATTTATTTATTTTTTTTTTTTTTTACACTATCTGTTACTCCCACTTTCCTCTATAACCGTTGGCAATTTTTTTGTAATTCTCAAAACTAGAAATTCACATTCTCTTACTAATGTAGTGAACCACCTGTTCGGTAGTTCAGCGAGTGAGCCGACCTCGACCTGGGGCTGGAAATCTATTCTCACTGTAAATCACAGTTAACGGGATGAACTAAAACACTCGTTGACTTGCCGGGTTTATTGAAATATCACTTAAAAGACTAAAAATGAACAAAAAATAGCACAATAAAAACACGTAAAAAGGCAGAAAGCCACACGTCCACCCGGCTCCGAAAATTGGCGGTAAAAAGGGGCACGTGAAATACCCCCAGAGCTGGTGATTCGTGAGTGGCTGAACGTGAAACATATGGCAAACAAAATCCGCACAAGTAAACATAGTAAAAAAGGGCATAAAAATAAAAATAAATACAGACAATAAAAAATACATAGATAAAAGGCATATTGCTCCTAGCGGAAGGCTTAAATATTAATAAAAAGTAATTAAAATGAGCAGGTGAACTTCAGAGTTCACTACAATCCCTCCCCCCATATGGAAAATGCCTTGCGAGGAACATTACACCTGACACGACCTCGAGACATTCACACACATCACGCTGCGAGAACGACCTGTTTTCTGTTTTCACGGTTACGATCACTATCACTACACTTCACTGCAGTAAAATGCCACAGCGTCCTTCTCGAGGGAGCCTATCCTCTCCAAGATGAGGCATTACATAGGTTCTGATAGGTGAGTAGGGCTCCGGGGTGAGTGGCTGCAGGTGGGCAGTGAGCAAAGTGCAGGGCCTGCTGCTGGAGGTGCCGCGGGACATATACCTGCCTGACAACCCTGTCTGAGAATTCCCGCAGGTGGTACAGGACTCCCTCTACCTCGAAGCTGGAAATGATGGCGGGTGGCCGTCTCTGAGGCAAGGTCTGACGTCCCTCTAACCAGGTAAGAAGGTCTCTGCAGGTGGGGTCTCGTAACTGCTGCTCCCTCATTTGTCTTGGCTCCAGGGTGGGGATGCCATGATCCACTTGGAGCTGCTCAGGCGGGCCAGGCAAGGGGAGCTGCTCCACAGGGCAAGCTTCATCTGGAGGTGTTGGTGTGCCTGCAGGTCGGGAGAGGTGGTCAGGGACGTGATTGCTGGCGCCCTGTTTGTAATAAAGGGTGAAGTCATAGTTCCCCAGCTCGTGTGCATATCGGCTCAGCCTGTTGCTCTTGGTACGCCTGGAGAAGACATGGGTGAGGGGCTGGTGATCTGTCCAGGCGGTGAAATGGCCGTAAATGTAAGGGTCGAACGGCCGGACAGCCTCCACGAGGGCAAGCGCCTCGAGGTCGATGACTGAGTGCCTCGTCTCTGCCTCCTTCAGCACTCTCGACCAGTAAGTGATGGCATGTGGCACACCATCGCTGCTCCGCTGAACGAGGACAACTCCCAGGGTGTGGAGACTTGCGTCGGAGTGGACTTCAAATGGTTCGCCCAAGTTGGGAAGTCGCAAAACAGGAGCTTTCACCAATGCCTCCTTCAGCGTGTCAAACGCCTCTTGTGCAGCTTCCTCCCACTTGAATTTTGCCCCTTTTCTTGTGAGTTGTGTAAGGGGCCTGGTAATGGTTGCAAAATGTGGCGCCTGAAGAAGCCACAGGCACCTAGGAAACGGCGAATGTCCCTTGCTGATCGTGGCCTCTTCATGGCTGCAATGGCTGTTACCTTTTCAGGATTGGGACGGACACCACCTCCACCTACAACGAACCTTAAATGTTTCCCCTGGTGTTTGGCAAAGTCACACTTTTCCAGGTTCAGCTTTATCCCGGCATCTTCTAGGAGATTTAGCGTCTCGCGTAGGTGCTGCATGTGCTCGGCGAAGGACGTGGAAGATATCACGTCGTCGTCGAGGTATGCCAGTGTGTGACGTCCCAATACTGATGATAGCACAACGTTCATTGTTCATTGGAACGTCGTGGGAGCAGCGGAAAGGCCAAATGGTAGGCGCCAAAACTGGAAGAGTCGACTGCCATCAGTAAAGGCAGTCTTCGGGCGATCATTAGGATGGACAGAGATTGCCCAATATGCCGATCTTCCATCAAGGACAGAGAACCAAGATGTCGTCAATCCTAGGCAGAGGGTAGGCATCAGGCGTGGTCACCTTGTTCAGGCCCCGGTAATCCACACAGAAGCGGTGTGTGCCATCTTTCTTGCTCACAAGAACTACTGGAGACAGCCAGGGGCTCGTGGATGGCTTGATCACACCCTGGGCCAACATCTGGTCGCATTCCTTCCTTATAGCATCTTTTGTTGCCTGCGGTATCCTTCACTGCTTTACACAGATGGGAACGTCTGTGGAGGTGCGAATGCAGTGCTGCACCTTTGGGACTGCGCCGACGGTAAACTTGTCACCTGAGAAGAGGTTTGGAAAGCAGCCCAGAACCCCTCTCAGCTGCAGTGTGTTCGAGTGGCAGCTGCTGAATCGCAGATTGGCAGACGCACGACATTCCCCCCTCAGCAGTAGCAACTTCTGCGTCCGTGGACTGAGATGCACTTAATACTGGAGTCTCGGGGAAACACGAAGAATTCGTCGTCCTTGTAGCCAGAGTCGAGGCAGGCGTCGATACTGTCGAAGCCATCGTCAAGGAACTCGCCTTCAGGGAAATCAATTCCTTACTGGTAGTGACTGGCGTCTGATGGCGATGTGCCTGATGTGGGTGAGGGAGGTCGCACTGCATCAGAACCGAGGCAAACTGACACAGCATAGGGTGGGGAGGCACCTTCTGATGGGGTGACTGCCCGCATTCCCGATCTGTTATCATTGACTACTGTTACCTCGTCTGGTTCCACGAATTCGGCATACCCTAACAGAGTGCCTGGCCTTAGTTGCGACTAGGGTGTTTGGAACAGTCAGACGCAAAGTACCACCTTCAATCGCTGCGAGTTGTCCTTTGGCGGTTGTTGAGCGGGAAAACTGGCAGCAAGAAACCTCCCAGACCTCGGTTCGACGACTGCAGCTTCAGCAGCATGTACCGGAGAAATGCACTTTACTGGCTGTGAGTAGGAGGGCTCCGGAAGTCCTCCCTGGACCTCGTGGCAGGCTGGAACTTGGCGAATAGGCAGTGACTTCTCTCCAGTGAAAAAAGATCTTGTATGGCTGACCACCTAACTCCATACTGCTCCATGAGGCATTAAAAGAGAGGCGAACAGGGAACCGTCTTAGAACATCCATCCCTAGGAGGACGTCGCCAGGGAACTGTAGGCCATCGACGATGCAGACCCGATGAGCGAGGCTTAGGCGGGAGTGAATCATGACGGTAAGGTCCGCCTCAGCAGTCACAGCTGTGGGTGGTCCTAATACACCCTGTAGTGCCCTCGAGCTCTCCTGCACACAGATGTCAGACAGGAGTTTGGCAGCTGTCCTCTTCACCATCAACTCTGAGCCAGTATCGACGAAGCACACGAGATGTTTCCCATTAATACTCAGGTGTATTTGTGGTCTCCCTTGTTGTTGTGGCAGGGCGGCTTGGTTGTTGCTCCCTGAAGCGATGACGTGGCCACCAGAGGGCTGGGGCTCTCGCCCTTAACAGCGTTGCTCAAAGGGACACGTGGCTATGAAGTGTCCAGGCTCACCACAACCAAAACATCGCCTTTGGCACGACATTCGGCAGTGTCGTGTCTTCCCTTACGGTGGAACTGGCACCAACGGGGACGGCGAGTATTACCATGGTAAGGAGATGCTCTGAACTGGGTGGGTGCTGCAGGTTGACAAGGTTCGCTCACCTGCTGTGGTTGGAGAGGTGTGGACGCAGGTGTCCTTCGAACCGATGTCATGTGGATAATCCCGGCTCCCCTGGATTACAGCCATCTCCACCGCCTGGTAGAAATCCAGTGGAGACTGCCCTGGTGCCATCCGAGTCTGGGCCAACATCTGAAAGAAATGCTGGCCTGTGCTTGCCCCACGAAACTTCCGCAGCTTTGCCTTGAAATCGGTCCACAGCGTCACACCCTCAAAGAGCGGGCCAAGAAGCGTCTGGGCGTATCCACGCGACCTTCCACGGGCCATCCGGATGAAGGTGTCATCTGTAGCTGGATGTGTCAGAAGCTCGATGCTGGCAATCCAGGATTCCACCTCCCGATTCCGCTGCAGACCCAAGGATGCAGGAGTCTCTCCGTAGAAGAGCGGAATCTCATCACGGCCGCTGGGAAAAGGCGGTGTTGCGACAGGGCCGATTGGTTGGTGGCGGGGGCAAGGTATAGTGGTGCAAGAGGTGTCGGCTGTTGCAGGAAAGGCTGGGATGGAGGCACTTGAGGTAGAGAGGCACCTGTAACTGAGGGCCGTGCAAGGTCTTGCAAATGGGGCGTGGAGACTAGTGCACTGTGTAATCACAGGAGGTCGTGGCGTAGCTGGTGATGCTGCATCGTTCCCACTAGGACGAGCTTGCTGAGAGGCCTGCGGATGCCTGGTGGAACGAACCTGTCTCAAGCTCGGCGATCCGCGAAAAGGCATCCCGTAACAGAGCCGACAGCTCGGCGTGAGACGACATACTTCCTGAAGCCTCCTCCGGACGTCCTGACTGGCCTGTCGCTGATGGTTCAGAGTCGGTGATGAGCAGCAGGGCGGGTGCAGCACAGGTCCCTTCCTGTGGTGACTCCTGTGTTGGAGAAAGGGCACCCGACCCCTTGGCGTGCTTGGACCTCACCATCGAGCGGGCAGTTCGGAGGATCGCCCTCCGGGTTGAGCTGCTGATAGGCTGTAGTCCTGTTCTCGGCGACTTCCGACGGCGAAGGTTGTGTGCCGGCAGGTGACAGAGGCCGGCGTCACAACAGAGTCCCAGCGGAGACACTGTGGAGAGCGTGGCGACGGAGCTACACTCGCGACGCACACAAATGCACACACTCGAGGTCTTGTAGAGGGGTCTGGGCAGCACCTGCGGACAAACAGATGCTAAGAACAAAATTCTCAAAGGCAGCACAGACTATAAAAATGACAAAGTAAATTAAAATGGTAAAGTAGAAAACAGGGTAATTGTTGAAGACCGCGACGCACCCTCGCAGAGACTAAGTCGAAAAAAAATGATGTTTTTCTGCATGAAATCCTATGATTTCATCGATTTTCGGCGTTGTTTCTTTTGCGAATGAATCGTTCAGGAGATCGAGTACCATTTCTCCATCGACGATCTTGATTTGATAGTCCCGTTAGCAGGGGAGGGCATGAAGTATATCAGGGAAATTATGGGGTAAAACAAGCTTAAATAAGAAGAATAACGATCAAAAATGCATAAAACTAGCACAAAAAGCGCTTAAAATCGGCCAATGAAACTCTACGGATGTAACCGCCATCTTTGAAAGTTTACGGACTGACGCGAAATAAATCAAAAACTCCACGGGAACCCAACCCACATTTCGGCAAAAATCTACGGGAATTCACACGTTCCAACCCCCAAAAACGTATTGACCAATAAACCAACCAACCTAATATATCAATATAAATTGCCGTGACTAGGCGTGCCCTTCGGGCACTGCCCGAGGGGAGGGTTGATGGGGGGCAAGCCCCAACACCCCCAGGACACATTCTCTCCACCACGGTATGTACGGCAAGACAGAGCTGCATTCACACCGTAAAATAATAAACCAAATACCTTTATATCCGGAAACGTGAAACTTTCGTTTCTTTGTACTGTTGGGATTGCTTCGATTTTAATCACCTTTTTCGTCCTTTGGAGCTCTTGATGGCTCAGATATAAACTGGGATGGTTACTGAAGTCGAATTATTCTTCGATGCCACTGTAAAGGTCTTAAAAAAGAACCCAGAATCAACACAACACTGGAAACGCAACATTTCTCACCGGCTTTCAATCTCGAAATGAGCGGGTTGGTGAGCTGTCAACCTGTGGCTGGCGCAAGAAAGTGTGAAACACTCGATGCGCAGGATTCGATAGGAGGGTATAGATAAATATAAAAATAGGCAATTGAAGTATAATAACATTACTAAAAGACTTTAAAGGTATAAATGCGTACCAGCAGACACAGATAATTAGCCAAATATCGTTTTGACAAGCGCGTAATGATACACGGACTAGTTCGCGAACGCAAAAATGCGTTCGTGGGTCAGTGTCGTGTTTTTCCTAGCAAGGTAAACAAGTTCATCGACTTTGAATTTGAAAGGCGGCCGCGCGTTATATTTTCGTCATTTAGCGGTGACTATAAGGCCAGTGCATCTTAAACTATACGCTATCCCCTTCTATTTTTTTCCGCTCTATAAGATGGGTGTCCATTTTCCTCTATCTACGCGCGTCGCGGTCTTCAACCTCTACCGAAAACAGTAAAGAGTAAAACAGAAAACGAGTAAGGACAAAAACAGGAGAAAACAAGAATAAAGCGGAGAAAGAGATAAAAAAGAATAAATACACAGAAAGCGATAAAACCAGAAACAATACTAGCACAGGAAAGATGTAAAACAAGTAAGAATAAAGGCAAA